ACTGCACGAGCCGTGCATGATGAACAGCGCAGAACGCAGACACCAGCGACGACGGGCTCACCTAGCACTACTAGGAGAAGATTATACTGGTGTTAAACACATTCAGTCATATCAACTCTGATCGAAAACAAGTTGAACTCGAAGAATTAGGCTCAAATTGTAGAGCCAAAAGTTTAATGTCAAAAAATACACAACCACTCCATTCGAAAGTTCGACCTCGTTGAATCTGTTCAACCTTATCGTACCATCGATGGTATATCACTCCACGCGATTGATACTAAAAAACTCGACATTGCTTCGATGTACTCGTGAATACGAAACTGTATTGTTGAAATTGAGACAAGTAGCCTCACTGTAGTTACTCAAGCCATCGCCACCAGCAATAACAACCACGGAAAACCACCCCAATACGAGGGCCTATTGCAGAACTATTCTACAACGACGACCGCCGCCGACAGAAGGTGATGATGATAGTCGCCACTTAGTGGATGGACAAAACGACCGGGTAGGGAGCAATGGTAATAATAATGGCACATCTTAGGCCTCAATAGGGAAGAGGACCTTACGCAGATTAGGCTTGTCCTTCTCCTCAAGTTGACGAAGACGGGCGTCCAGAGTGTTATCAACACGGATCTTGCCATCGTTGCAACTAAGCACAACACCACCAGCCTTGCCCTTGAGAGGGTTCTTCCTGTCTAGGGTGAGTACAACAGCCTTGGTAGTGCCCTTAGCCTGCTTGGCGATCTCGGCAGCGTAGATCTTCTGAGCCTGGGGGATGATACTCTCAACAAGAGCCATATCCTCCTGACGGCAACGAATGGTGACCTCAGGCTCAAGAAGAGAGAAGCAACCCTGGACAATGAGGTTGGTCACAGTGGTCTTGTAGGCGGGAGTCTTGGCATAAGCAGAGAGCTCGGCAATAGCATCATCAACAGCCTTGTGGAGCATAGCATCACGCTCACCGATTTTCTGCAATCGAGAACGGTTGATAGCAGTGGAGCGAGCAATAGCTCTCTGAGTCTCAATCTTCTTAGCCTTCTGG